TTTTTGGTTTACTATAGAGATGAGGTTCACCAAGTTGCCCAGCTGGGTCTCGAACCAGCGGGCTCAAGCAATCCACTCACCTCAGCCTCCCAAGGTGCGGGATTACAGGCTGAGCCAGAGCCCAGCCTGATTTTCTTAATGGTTAGTACTTATATTTCATTAAAGAAATTTCATCTGCAACAAGGTCTTGAGAACATTCTCCTATGTAGTCATCATTAAATTTTACTGCTTAATATTTATTCTTTAGATCTATAACCTACTTGAATTATTTTATTTAATTTTTGTAAATGATATAAATTAGAAGTCAATTTACAAATTTTTTCTCCTAGACATTTTGCATATCTTTTGCTAAATTTACCCCCAAGGTATTTGATATTTCTTATGGCATTTGTATATTTTATAGATTTTATTTTTTAAATGTTTATAGAATACAATTCATTTCTGTATACTGACTCTAATAGCAACAACCTTGCTGCATTCATTATTTATTTGAAAACTATTTCTGAGATTATTTTTAATTTTCTAAATAAAAGTAATTGGTCTGTGGATAAAAAATACATTTCTTCTTTTCTAATACATGGAGTCTTATTTCATTTTTATACTATTACAGTGACTAGAAATTTCAGTACAATAGTGTACAAAAGAGATTAAGTAGGGATCACTGTATGGTTTCCAATTTCAGAGCTAAATCTTTCAGTATTTTACTATTTGCATGACTCAAATGTTGCTTACTCTGCTTAATTTTTATTAATAAAAATGTTCACTCTCTGAAATTGTATTCTAAATTGTTTAAATTGTTTATGTGTTTTTTTTAAGGCCTCACTAAAAGGTAAACTTCATGGAAATGGTGCATTTAGTGATATAGCCCTGGAATCTACAATAGTGAGTGGCACATAGTAGATGCTAAATAAATATTTATTGAATAAGTGAATGAAGTGATAGTCATAGCAATCTTGTGAGGTAAATAAAGTAGAACCTAATCATCCCTACCTCCTCATTTTATGAACAAAAAAATAACCAAGGTTATAATGGATAGGTGACTTGTCCAAAGTCAAGCAGCTTTCAACTGATGAAGCTCCTGACAGAACCAAATCCTTTGGCCTGTTTTTAAAAAAATCCCGATAGCAGCTGAACACAAAACAAAGGTTTAACCTTGGAGATAGACCCAAAGGAGCAGCAGAATGAAGACAGATATTTTAAAGGAGGCAAACTGCGGGAATTCTTGTCATGGAGGAAGGGAGTTTATCTGAGGAGTCTAGAAAGCAAAATCATGCGATTGATTTTGAAAAGAATGGGAAAGATAAACAATAGAAGGGACAACTAGAGAAACTGAAGCTGGGGATGAGTTGTGATTCAAGTAGTTTAAACATAAATTGCTAAAAATGGTGAAATGACTACCCAAAGAAGAAGAAACCCTCTATGGTTTGGAGCATGGGAAGAATGATGGTCTTGCCATCAGAAGACAACTGCATGCATTTTGGCATGAAGTGAGGTGCTAGTAGTTCTAGAAACAGAAATACAATAAAGAAATGTTGCTAAAGATGAATGAACAAAATTCCATGACTGATAGAATATTCAGAGTGAATGAATTAAAGCTTGGTCCTGGGGGTCCAAGAATAATATATTGTTTGTGCTTATAAGGCAGCTAAGCTAAAAGTAACTACTATATAAATGCATTTATTCTTTGTCATAGTTCTGAGGAGAACAGTGTGCTGAATATTAAGTCCAAACCTGAGATCACATTCTGAATTTTATAACACATAAATACAAGCACCAAGTATAAGGGCATTAGGTATGGATACACTTTTAGGACCATTATGTCAGAATAATTTTGTGTCTCTCTTTAGTAGAAAATATTAGAGTCATAAATTTTGATTATATTAATTCTACTTTATTCCTGGCACAGGAATTTCAAACAGAAAAGATGATAGCAATTCAGAATTAATATTCACTAATGTTGTTAAATTCATCTAATTAAAAGATAACAAAATATTTGATAATGGAAAATTATCTCTCAAGCAAAGTCTTTGATTATCTCTTTTTCTCACAAGAGTTAACGGCAAACAGACAGACTCACACATACATAAATCCTGATAAAATTATATATATTTTAGAATAATATAATGACTTCAGAAAACTCATTTGCATTTGCATAACTTAAAATGCCTTATTATGATTTGCCCAAAATACTCTGCAAATAGAAGAGTTTATATTTGCATTAATAAATAAAATAAAGGTGACTACACATTGTGCCTTAGGGCTTATTTGTACTTAGCAGCTCAGTCATACTATTTGTAGCATTCCCTACAGGGAGAAGAGGTGACACATTCTGGGAAGAGGGGGATCGTAACAAATACAATTAGTCAAAAATGCTTAAACCAATTGTGGATGTAGAATCTTGCTACAAAAAAAAAGGCAGGCAGGACATTAAAATCTGCAAACCTAACTTTTAGCAGTTCACATGTTTTTGTACTTTGTATAAATGGAATTCTACATAATGAACGATCTTTTTCTAGATTCTTTCACTCACATTTTTGTATATGAGATTCATACAGACTGTTGTATGTGGTTTAGTTTATTCTTATTGCTGTATAGCATTCATTGTGTGACTATACAACATTCTACTCTGGGGTTATTATGAGTAGAGTAACTATAAACACTTTAGTCTTTTGGTGAATATATGTGCTTTTTCTATTGGGAATATACTAGGGAGAGTAATTGCTGGGTCTTGGGGTATGCATTCATTTCACTTGTGTAGTTACTGACAAAGAGTTTTCTAAAATGGTTGCATCGGTTTCATTCTTACCTGTAGCGTGAGCATTCTGACTCCACATCCTGATACTCTTAGTATTATTACTCTTTGTCAAATTTATGATTCTGGTGAATGCACAGTGGTGATTCATTGACTAATGTCTTTGCATATATCTATCATTCACTTGTATGTCTTCTTTTGTAAAGTGCCTATTTCAGTCTTTTTTTCTGTTGGTTTACCTGTCTTCTTGTTATTGATATTCTACAAATATTCCAGATAGTATTATTTCTTTGGATATAAGAATTGTGAATATTTTCGTCTACTCCGTGAGTTCTTTTTTAACTCTTTTAATAGTAATTTTTGATAAATAGGTGCTCTTAATTTTAATAGAATCTAAATTATCATTGTTTTGTTTATAATGAAAGCTTTTTGGTTTCTTTTTCAGAAATTTATGACTACTCTAAGTTTACAAAGCTAACTTATTTTATATTTTGTGTGCAGTATCTTTGGAATTGATTTTCATGTTTAGTGTAGGTAGGGATCAAGATTCTTCTGTCTTATATGAATGTCCAGTTGTCCCAATACTATTTATTGAAAAAAATCTTCTTTTGTTCACTGCCCTCTAGTACTATTTTTGCATACATCAGATGTATGGAACTGTTTCTGGAATCTCTATTTTTTTCAACTGATTAGTTTGCATATCCTTTTGCTAATATCACAATATCTTACCTATTATAGCATTATAATCAACCTTAATAACTGAAAAATGTAAATCCCCAGCTTTGTTGTTTTTGTTTTATATTTCACCATCAACTGAGATAACAGCAGTAAACTTTATCTGTCAGACAAGTCTTCTACAAACTATTACTAATGTATATTAAAATACTGTAATAATTTTGACAAAAATGTCCAAATTTGGAGGTCAGTTTTGAGCTATCAAATAGAATTTAACCTCTTTCAAATGCATATTAGAATGTACAGAATGCTGTTAGAAGAAATGAAAAACGTTAGGCAACACCAAACAATTATATCAGGCTGACTCACTAAATATATTTTTTGGAAAAAAGTTTTATGCTTCTTTAATGGTAAGAGTTGGGCCAAAGAAGAAAGCTAGAGATCTAGGGTCCAAGACTTTAATAATTCAGATTCCCTATGGTGCTCTTCCATTGGTTCAGTGGAAGCATGTTTTGGAGAAGAGGAGCAGTTTTTCTTAAGTGTAGACCATCAAAATTGTGAGCTATTGTCCAGACATAGACTGTTTCTCCCTACACCTGACTTCTTTCTGTTCCCTCCCTCATGGAGCAGCCTCTGGCCAAGGCTGGTCTCTGAAAGATACACACATTCCCAGTGATAAGTCAGGGATGTAGGTGATCAAGCAAAACTGAAGATAATGTAGTCATCATTCTTAATGTAAGCGTAAACATCATACAGGAATTTAAATGATTAACTTGCTTACTTTGGTTATAAAACTGTTTGCTGTACTGCCCTGAGGAGCAGAGACTTCACTGATCTGCCACCTTTGGTGCCTTCCATAAGTTCTAGTAAACTGATGTCCTTCTCTGTTGGACCCTCAGGTGACTTCTATGGAACAGGTAAACATTTTGCACATACCATCTCAGATTTGGGATTTCTGCATTACAAGACTCATATGTTAAATTAGAATCACTGGATGTGGGACTTGAGGATATACATTTTAACAGGCTCTCTGATTCTGATGCGCACTGTACTTTGAAAAACACTGAGGTTGCGCAATGAAGGGACATTTGGCACCTTCTAGAATCATGTGGTTGCTACATTGACCTGGAAGAGGTGATATTCACTGGGCAGTCTCCCACAATAATTATCCATCTTAAAATGTCATGAGTGTCATTGTTGAGAAATCCTGTTCAAGTGATAATGAGGAAACTGAAGAAACCTGGTTGGTTACACTAGAAGAAATAACTACACAAAAATGACTTAAATCAGTGATCAGCCTGAACAAACAGCAGAGGCCCTCAGTCATTTCTCAGCATTAACCTTTGCCAAGATGAGTCCTGGCTGTGATGACTATAGGTTTCAAGAACTTTACTACCATTTGACTTCAGCCTTCAGTTCTTATAATGTAGCTTTTCATGGTTTGCCTCATTCAGACTAGAAAGAAAAGAATTCTGTGTGACTGTTCACTCCATTGAAGAAGCTATTTTAGGCATTTTGCATTTGTGACTTCAAGTAATTCTTACAATATTGTGAAACAAATAATATCGTATTTTTCCCTTTTATTGTTTATTTTTAATAAATTTAAGAACTGTTCTATCTTCTCTCCTCCCCCCAGAGCAACTGAAACCAACTAAAAGAGGGTATGTCCTGGGGGGCAGAGGGTGCTAGGAGTCATAATCTTCTTCATCCCCTCCGTCGGGTGCTGAGGGGCCAGGGGGCCCTGGAGGCAAAGGCAGACTAGAGGCGAAGGGCAGGAAGGGTGTCAGGGGGCTCTGAAAGTGGCCAGGGGGGTGGCTGACCTGGGTGGCAGCTGCGGTGTTTCCTCTTCCCCGTCAGTATCTGTGTCCTCAGACTCATCCTCCTGCTCTGAGTCTGTCCCCAACAGTTTTTGTCCTTGCTTTTGCTTCCCATCCCACCATTCTTCCGGCTGCTGCTTCCTGGCTTCCGACCCTTTCGGGAAAGTACAGTCCATGTGCAGGCACCCTTGACCCCGTTCATGTGGCTGTCTTCTCCATCACCCTGCATGTCAGGCACAGATGCCACCAGGTCCTTCAGGAAGTCAAACTGCTGCTCCAGGTCAATGCACTGCTGCTTCAGGTGGGATGTGGTCATGGTCTTGGCGTTTCGGGACTGGGTCACCTGGCAGGCCTTCTTCAACAGCGACTCCAGAAAGAGCTGGAGCGCCCGGGAGATGATGACAGGCACAGCTGCCACCACCTTCCCAATCTCCTCGTCCGTCTGGAGGATCATCTTGATCCGCCCTGGCAGGAACCGCGCATTATACTTCTTGCTCTGCATCGCCGGGCCTCCCTACCGCGCCAGGCCTAGCGCTGCCGCCCGCTGCCTCCCGTATTTTTTTAATGTGAGGACATTTTAGATAAGTAAAATACTCAAAAAAATTAATTTTATTCAAGTAGAGATGTATGATTGAAACTTCTGACATAAATAACTCACAGTGTAGTTGCAGGTAGTATTATATATAATGTATAAAGTATGACAATATAAGCCTTAAACTCGACATATAGCATTATAATATTTTATGCTATATCTTATTATTCCCATTGTATACTTTAGAAAACTGAAGGTCAGAGTGGCGAAATTAGTTTCACAAGGATACACAGCTAATGTAATGATGGTCTGTTAGTTTCTAAAGTGCTCTAACTGCTACACTAATATATTAACTGATAAATGTATGTAAATGTAATTTATAAACCAAGAACAGATACAAATATTAAGTGCTATTCCAAAAATCAAGCTGGAAGAAATTCTTTTAATTATGTGTTTAGCATTATAGATAGCAGGAAGAAAGATAATATTTTTAATATTTAATATTTTGTTTTTTATAGATAAGAACTCTATGAACACCTGTGGGGGTTTTTTTTTTTTTTGATAATATGGTAAAAGTTTTTAAGAGAGATTCTCTAATCTGAAGTTCTGAAATCTATTAGACTGAAAGCTTTCATTATCATAATTACTTTTATTAGCTAATCAACTTGAATCATGCAAAACTACTTGAAATAACATTTGAGTAATTTTTCCCAGTTATTTAACTTTATTCCTCATAATAGAATCAGTGAGCAACAGCCTGTCTTTGGAAATTGTAACTGTCAATATCTTCTCCAGGCTTGAACTGTTTAGAGCAACAGCTTTCAAGAATGGATTATTTGGATTTGACAGTAATTGTTCCTGTTTTAGTTCAATTCTTTTGGAGGTTTATTGGAAATTGCTTCTCTGATCTATAGACAAGTCAAAATTTTCTTTTGGAAGTAGTTTGAGATATTTAAGTTTTGTGCATAATTTTGCAAGGTAGAAAAATGTCAAATTTTACCAAAATTTCAAGCAATACACTATAATAGGATTCTTTATTGTAGAGTACAAAACTTATTGTCATTTACATTTCTAACATAGCATTGATTTATGCAGTATACTGAGCACAGGACAACAGATTTTCATACCTGTTTTTAAAAGTATTATATAAATAATATTACATATTGCAATATAAATATTATGTCTATATGTAAATAATATATTTAAAGTATTTTGCATATGTATAAAACTTTATTTTATTGAAGTCTAGTTTACCCATCACAAACTTCAAACATTGTAAATACTCAGTTCAATGATTTTGAGTAAATTTAGAGTTGCTCAGCCATCACTACAATTCATCTAAAAATATTTCTGTCACTTCAAATGGTAGTCATTTTCCACTTCCACCCTCAGAAAACCACTGATTTTGTTTCTGCCTCTATATAAATTTACCCTTTCTAGGCATTTTATATAAAAGAAGGCATATGCTATGTAGACGTTTGTGTATGAATTATTTTACTTAACATTATATTTTTGAGGCTCATTCATGTTGTAGCTTGTATCAGTATTTCATTTCTTTTTATTAACTACTATTCCATTGTACAGATATAGCACCTTTTATTTATTCATTTCAGTTGATGGACACATATTTTTTCCATTTTTTGATTATTATGAATAAAGCTGCTGTGGACATTTATGTAAAAGTCTTTATATAGATAAATATTTTCATTCCTTTTGGGTAAATACCTAGGAGTGAGAATTGCTGAGTCATATGGTAACTCTATGCTTAATATTTTGGGAGAGCTGCTAGATTATTTTCCAAAATAAAGACACCATTTTACATTCCCATCAGTGATATATGGGTGTTCTAGTTTTTCCATATCCTCATCAACACTTTTTAGTATCAGGCTTTTCTAAAATTATTATTATTATAGTCATCCTAGTGTGCATGAAGTGTTACCTTATTGTGATTTAGATTTGCACTTTTCTGATGGCTGATGATGTTGATTACCTTTTCATGTGCCGATTGGTCATATTTTCTGTGGAGAAATGGCTATTCAGATTTTTTTTCCATTTTTTCAGATGGGTTTTTTTGTGTTCTTAATATTGAGTAGAAAAAGTTCTTTGTATATTCTGGATACAAGTCCCTTATCAGATATATGATTTGCAAATATTTTCTAAGATTAGTTTCTTTATACATAAAATGGGAAAATGGGTGACCTTTTTATGGCGGGCTTGCCTCCCCATTTTGTCATCAGCCATACTGGATCCCTGTTTCCACAACTGAATAGGAAAGGCTCAGAAATCATGCCCCATGGTGGTATTCTGTGGATACTTGTGGCAAAAGGTTAAATATCGCACATATTCTGGATGCAACCATTTTACTAAAATAATTCAGGCAGAAAAACTTTATTTCTATTAAAAATAATATTTTGCCTTTACAAAATAGTCTTGATCCTCTCTCCTTTTTTATAAAAAATTTTCATTTATTTGTGTGCATATGTATATGTATGTGTATGTTTAAGAGTGCTTTGATTGAATAATTTATGAATCATTGGTGGTTTTTAACAACCTTTGATGTTTTATGACAAAAATTGGAAATGTTATAGCTATCTCCTACTGTTTCACCTTCAAATTTCTGTCTTCTTCTAATCAAGCTTTGCTGGAAATCCTTATATTCTGGCCTCCCTATGATGCATAAATGATGTGTAATCATTTAACTGTACCAGAGGACATCATGTTTAAGATAACCCAGGAGTAAACTTTTGATAACATGAAAGTTTTATGTAAACAACCTCTCTCTATTTTTTTCCCACATTTAAGTTATAGCTTGTTATACTTTCTTAAAGCAAGATACAGCTGTCTTAGTTTTTTACAAATTTTTTCATTGAATCATGGAAATTTATTGCTGGATAGAGAATTTCAGGATCACAGAGGCTGCCATATTCAAGTTCACTCAACTAGTTAATAACTAAATCATGGTAATAAAAGGCCATGTTCCTGGTTATTATTGATTGCTAATATTCTTTTAAGTTATTGACAATGTAAGGTAAAGATAAAATTGCACAAGAGTAAATAAGCCTGCTTGAAATTTATTTCCTATAAATCACATTTATATTTGACTTTATATGAAATATTGTACCCTTGATAAATCCTGAATCATTATTTCCTTTCTGTAATAACCTTTGGTGATTTGGGGGTGTATGAGGGGGAACTAAAAAAAGCCAGAATTTATTTATAAAAATTGTGTATTTATTCTTACATGTTTAAATTTCAGTCACCTGCAAACTACTCTCCATTTGATGCAATACATTTATTGAGATGCTTTTTCTACTCCTCAAAACAGATTTTTAAAAAATTATTATTTGCAGTTTTTGAATTCATAAATCTTGATGACTTTTAGAGTGTCTTCCGTTTTGGTTCATCTCTTCCATATTGACAAAATGTTTCCTTTTGAGGGTGTTTATCATCCAGGGAAACAAACAAAAAACGTCACTTGGGATGAGATCAGTTGAATAGGGAGGGTGGGGCACAGTGCTAAACACTCAGTGCAGTGTGGGCAGATGCACTCATAAATAAACCCATCATGAAATGGGCAAGCACATTGAAAAAAACCTTCAAAAAAATTTCACTGAAGTCAAACAGCTTATCACAACGCTAGCTGGTCCACTAATGCAGATGGGTTCCTAGAATACTTACTTAGCGGGGAATACCCACCCTTCAAAAATAATTCCAGTTTTTTGGGAGGTCCTCACTCATAGTTCTAGTCTGAATACTATAAATGATAATAAATTGAAATGTTTACTTTGAATATCAGAATTGGTACGGTAACTTTTATAATCTAGTTCATATTTTATTTCTTTGCCAAATAGATATGGTGTATGTTTTTGGAAAAGAGTCATGAGTGCGTATAAAGCATGAGAACATATAAAGAAATACAAACAAAGCTATAAATAAATGTATTTTTCTCCATTTGATTATTAGCATATCATTGTATATTTGCATATTATTAAACTACAAATTTCAATATGATTCAATATAACTTTTAAAAAATAAGGCATATAAAACTTTAATCCAGAGAAATAAAACAATGAAATTGAAAAAGAAATGTGTATGTGTGTGTATGTGTGTGTGTGTGTGTGTGTGTGTGTGTGTGTGTGTGTGTG